ATTAATGAATATCTCATTGACGTTTTTTGCAAAACGATGTCATGTTGGACTCTAAGCTCAACTTTCATCTTGATATCAATAGAAATACAAAAAGATGATCAAAAGAATATAAAGACGAAGGCCTTTACTATTAAAACCATGTAAAAGAAATTATTAACTGATGAAGCAATTCCCCGATTGTGTCAGGATTTTAAAATTTATTCCAGCACCTTCGACCTCTCAGAGTCACTATTTAGCATAGAGATAAGTATTCTTGCTTAACTCAACAATTAAATTAGAAAATTCTTTAATTACTAAATTTCAACTGTTTAAAAATTTTTTTTCCGTAGCTGAACAGTTTCCAATTTCGGCATTTAGCAAACGCTTGACGTGTGGTTCGGTGGGTGGAGAGTATTCATTTGGGCTTTTTATAAGCAGCAGTAAATATTAATTTTAAATGGATATGAAATAATAGATTTTTCTTCGTAATTTATATTACACAATTCTTTTGAATCAACTTACAACCTAATAGTAAGTATATAAATCTTAAAACTAAAATAAAAACGTACTAGCTCTGAGCCCTTTTCAACTACGGATATCACCATAGAAAGCGGGAACATCATAAATTGCATATAATAATACCTTAAGGGTTGGAATGATTTCGCGGATCTTCGAGGTACTTAGTTTTGCTCTTTTCAACTGTAGGCTTAACTAGTAGGATATCAAGGTCTTTATACAGGATGCTTCATCTTTTATGTCGGTATGTACAGGGTCCGCCATCTAAAATTCTTTTTTTTTTTTTAACTAGTGGTTATTTTGAGTGTGGTAACACTGATGTTACATCTGATTTGACAGAAAGTTAGTTTTATCCTTCCGCTGAACGAAAATGGTTGTGTATAGGATTTGAGGAACGCGTTAAAATAGTGCAGTTTTACTTTGAAAATGTGTGCGAAAATTACGCACGGAAATGAGCCGTAACAAAGCACCGTCCGCTCCGGCACAATTATTGATAAACCAACGCGTGAGTAACCAAAAAAAGTGCGTGCTGGCGGTAATATCGCTGCTGTGGCCGAGAGTTTACGTGAGGCGCCCGGAAAATCAGTGAGGCGTCGCTCTCAACAATTGGTCATTTCCGAGACGTCCCTTAGGCGAATTTTGAAAAAAGACCTTGGTATGACACCGTACAAAGTTCAATTGGTTCAAGAATTGAAGCCACAAGACCATCCGATGCGGTTTGCCTTTGCCGAATGGGCATTTGTTTTATTGCATTTAAAAAAAAAAAAGTTACGTGGCAGACCCTGTATACATGGAATAACTTAAAAAAAAAAAACAAATTCTATAAGTGATATTTTTTTATTCAGTTGGGTTCCTTACAATATTTTTGGACTAGTTTTTGAAAAAAATATCTATTAAATGGCTACCATTATTAGCAATTATAAATTACCTTTCCGAGCATCTCGGGTGCTATAGCGTCGATTTCATACCATACCATTACCATACCATGTCATTTTTGTGGATGTTTTTTCCGATATGCACGTTTAGTTAACACAATGGAATTGATGTAAAGTGTCACTTTTTCAGCTCGCCGTTTCGGTGTGAATCGATCCATGGCGAAAATTGTACTGAATTGAAGCTTCCAAAACATATCTGATGCAATCCCTCGGTTGGAAATGTGAAATGTGAAAGTTATTCAGCGTTTACATACCGACATAAAAGATGGAACACCCTGTATATGTTTACGTTTCGAAAGTACCACGGTACGTCCTAAAATCCCATACAGGTAATTACTTTAGAATTTTGATCTGGGACCTTTGTATTTTCTCAACATCAGTTGCATAGGCCATACATTCAAATTGGGTTTATAGCTGCGATGTAAATAAATAAGTACTTTGTTTTAAAGTTCTAGCGGCCGCGGCAACCGAGTGGTCAGCACTGCGTTCTGCCATTCGTCAGGATTGGAGTCCTGGTGCGGAAAACATCCCAAAGCTATGGAAAATATATTTTCAAAAAATGTAGTTTTTTCAAAATGCGGTCGCCCCTCGCCAGAGATTGCCAACCCGTTGGAGTTCGGAGAACAAAGGAATTAAGTCAAGACTCGCACTGCTAGTTGGAGGGTCAGCTCGGCCGAAAATCGGTTCAGTGTTTACAAAGAAAGCATAGGTTATATATATATTTCAATTTTAACCATAGTTTTAACACGAAATCCAATTTAAGCCGGCTATTTTGCAACAACTGAAGCAATTTCCGGCAAATCTTTTGTGCGCGTCTTGTTGTTTTTCCAGCAAATGGAGGGGCTTACAGTTTATTCACATTGACTGGAGGCTAACGGTTCTTATATGTCTTTCAAAGTGAATACTTTGTGATTATGTGTTAGTTTTTCTATGTACATACGTCGTAACATTATGACCTTTCGATTGTTTCAGCGCAATTTTCGGGTTTCTCTCTACTGATGTTAACCGCAACTTGGGCAGGAGAGCGATATAAGTGCCGTTCCCTCCGGAAGTGAGGCGTTTCTATTACTAATTCTTTGATTTTAGTATTTGTTATGGTTTTTGGGTTCGTGATAATACCTTTTTCTTTGGAGATGATAAAGTTCATGCAGACGCAAGTATGTTATTAAACTCATTAATGTGTTGATGTGACAATCAATAAATTTTTGAATTTGACACAATTTGTTTTGCTTGTTAGCCTTGGCTCATGAGCAACTATTATCGGTTGTTTGTAAATTTTTATTAATACTGGTGAGTGGTCAGAGGATAATAGCCGAAGTAGCAATTTTACGTACCACTCAGCCGTAATTTTTAGCTTGTAGGTATTAAAATGGTGGGAATGGTTAAAAAACGCAGAAGAAACTCTCTGCCGCCGGCGATTTTACCTCAGGGTGGTTTGTGGAATGGAATATGAGCTTTGGAATATAAAAATTGTATTTATATTCCAGATGTGTTTCGGACAAGAGTAAAAAATTTGAAACAGAATGATTGCTTCGGGTTACGGCCAGTCGATATTAAAATGTATGCCTTTTTATGGGAATGAACGAAACTCTACTACGTGGCCACACAACTGCCGGTGTGGCTGAGGTTCATTTAAATCTGAAATATCTATTATTTAATAAGTAGACACAGCTTTGACAATATTATATGAAAGTATAGTTCTATAAGCTTCAATAAATTTTACTTTATTTGAACGAATAAATGTTCGCAAACTTAAGATCTAATTTCCCTTCGTATTGTAACATGAAAATATCGTATTGATAAAGAAAATAAATTATATAAATGCATTAAAAATGTTTGTATGTGGATGTTGCTGGCGCTGCAACTTGCGTTGTAATTATGTAGCTGACTTCACGATCACCGTTATGGCGAACGTTATTTGGACAGCCAATGGAGACCATTATATTTTTCAATTACCTACTCAGTTCGGCCCCTTAATGTGTTGCCAAAGGCAACTTAAAATTCGATGGTATAGAGCTATTCAAACCGTGAAGAACAGATAAGGTACATGTACAAGCTTGTTTGCGAAATATGCTTGGATGAAAATATGCCCCACGATTGGAATCCAAGTGTTCTCTGTTCAATCCAATAAAAAGGGATCCCAAATTTTGCGCTAATTATAGTAGAATGTTTCTCCTCACTATCGCCTGTAAAAGACTAAAGCCCAATTCACACACTAATTGGACCTTATCAAACTATCCGAAGCTATCAACGAAGTCGTCTCAAAAATAATTAATTGTATTTTTAGAAACTCTTTTAACTTTTTCGAAAAATTTATAATCTTCTGGTATGATACTTTTCATTAACAATTTAAGACCAGAATTCATTCCAACGGTATATAAAGAGTATGGCTGCTTAACGCAATATGCAAAGCATACGTGTACATGCAATGTATAATATTCGTAAATGCCACAGCATTAAATTAAACAAAGTATTAAATTCATAAACGCATGGGAGCCAAATCTCATTAGCATGAGTTTTTTATATTGAAATATATATAGCTTATTGAAATTTAATTGATATTTGGCTTTATTTTTAAAATTAGTTTAAATTATCAATTTTTAAAGCACGACAAACTTTCTTAACATCTTTCAGGTCAATGCACAGGGGCGTTTATAAACGTCGAATAAATACATTACATATTTTGGCAATGCAGGTAGTAATGCATAATTGCTTTGCATGGCATGGCACGGGGCATGGCACGGGTATGAAAAATGCTTTGCATATATTATATGAGGCGTCATAAACGCCCGAAATTGTGGGCCAACAATTTCCGAAAACTGTCTTGACGATAGTGCGCCATCGCACCGAGCTGTAGTTTTCAACGATTTTAAGACCAAGAACATCGATCAACCACCGTTTCACCGGATTTGGCCCCATGCGACTTTTTTTGTTTCCAAAACTCGTGTTACCACTCCGTGGAGCCCGCTTCGACTCGATTAAGGGATTCGTGAAAGAAAATTCGAAGAAGGAACAGAGGTCGACTGCTGCTGCAAACAAACTAGCCGTCAGATCGCGTTTATTTTTGGGATATTAATTAAATATCTAGCAAAAACAAGTGCTGGAAAATATTCAGCGCGGGCAGTTTAAATGACAACTTCCGAGACCTTTCTGATCTTAATGCATGTTACAATTTTCCAAAGGATTGATCACGAAAAATATTACCAGAAAATTATATAAGAATAAAGTTGATGATTAAAAATGTACTTTAATTCTTCTTTATTGTTTAAATATTTCATAGCTTCGAAATTTTAACCATTTTTTCAACAGCACCTCACAAAACTGGTTGAGCGAAAAATCCCACCACTCTTTTCTGTACTGATATCCGAAAACCTCTCTTTCAATATTTCTTGCTGGTTTTTTAAACAAAAAGACTAGCTAAGAAAATAATACTTTCTTTTTTCTTACATATTAGATAACAAAAACACTAAACAACAACAAAATTTATTGAAAAGAAATAAATTAAATTAAAAATATTAAGCAAAACTCAGAAGTAGCAACGCAAAACAAAATAAAAATGAAAAGACAAACCTGAATACGTGCCTCGGGTAAACCAATTTTTTCAGCAAGTCTTTCACGTGCGAATACATCCGGATAATGCGTTCTTTCGAATTCTGTAAAGTTAAAAAATAATAATAATTAATATATTTTGTACCATAAAAAATATAATAATTTTTTTTTTTATTATAACCATATAATTTTGTCATCATCAACCTCCATGAGTAAGTGACGTGATGGGAGATGGCCCTTTGTGGTCAGGTGCTAAGAATCTGTCCTAGACAATAATAACGGGTGGACCAAGAACTTATTTTTCAATGATTTATTTATCGCAGCTATGAGACTGATAGTTGACGAATTTGCTCATGAAGTCCGAACCAGCTGTCTCTTCTATAATTTTTCTTTGTTGCATAACAAAAATATTCAATTCATACAAACAAGCCATCCCTTTAGCTCTTTAAAACTTATTACAAAAAATAATAGTATGGCCGCGAAAAGAATTATTGTTTAAGAGCGCAACATAAATAGGTTTGTACACGCCATGTCTCCTTTCACGCGGGACACGCTGTCCGAAGAAAAAAAATTTTTTTTTAATCCCTATAATTTAAAGTGACATAACTTAAAACTTATAAAGGGTATGCTTGAACATAAAAAAGCCAATCACCTACGCGCGCTCACGGCGTATTTTATCGTGGCAACTGAATATTCTAGTGAGCTTCACTTCGACAGAAAGCCTCACTCAAGAAAATAAAGCAATTGTGAGACTATCTAGATTCGTGAAATCATACATGAATAAAAACAAGATTAGTGTTTGTCCACTATCATTAGAAAAAAAAAATTTACTTCTTTTAAGTTTTATCAGGCCGATTGGCAACTACTTCAAACCAAACTCAAGGCAAGTTATTTATGGTTCTTCGAGGCCAAGCTTGACCAGCCCTATATAAAAAAGACTTACAGTCTACAACCACAAAAAATATAATTATATCAGTGCTGCCGTGCAGAAAACAAGCTAAAGCGCAAAAAAAATTCAAACAAAGCTAAAGTACGAAATCATGAATTTGTTTTATTTTTTAAAATAATAAAGTGGAGACACACATAAATAAAAAAAGCGAAATCCATATACATACATACACACCGTAGTGCATGCATACATAAAAAAAGTTTACAAAATCAAACAAACAAACATATAAAAACAATATATACAGTAAATAAAATATGTATTTTTCATATACAGTATGCATAGTACACGTATGTAGATATCGGCACATAACTAAATACATACATACATCTAATTGCACATTTTTAATTTGTCTACTTTCGGAACTTTGCAATTTCCCTATTACAGGCTATAAGCTCATTGCTCTCATTACCTACTTACTCTACTCTAAAAAGTTCAAAGTCATTTAAAATAGCGACTTTTCAACAATTTAGGTAGTGGTTGTCGAGTTGAACGAGCGCGAAGGAACAGCGCATCAAAGCAAAAAATTTACATATTGTACATATATCTAAGGAAATATTCACCATGAATTATTTGCAATGAGCGCATAAAAAACATAGAGTGAAATAATACAATAACAAGTGATGCTCTTACTAAACCATTATCCGCCATTCTCTTTTGTACGATATCCGCTTATTGCAATAGATGAGCAGTGCACTATACAACATCAAATTCAAGACCATTGTGCACACTCCCACGCTCATAGTTTTAGTTTATTTATTATTGCTCAGCATTGGTAAACTTCTCTTTAGCAGCAAAAACAAAAAATCAAAACATTGATATGCCCACATGTATATATATTATTATAATACATATTTGTTCTAACATGAGCTTTACCAGAATAGCGGTTGTACTTTGTTTATGTAAACGAGTGCGTGCATAAAATAAACTTAAAGATACAAGATAGTTTTCTTAATATCTTGCCATCTCGACTTAAAAAATATATATCAAATTTGCATACACGTACATATATGTAACAAATAATAATATATGTTATATTATTTCATTTAACATATTGTATGTATTTTTACATGTATATTTTAATATATATATATATTTTTATTTTAAACTTATTAAATTATTTCTTTAATTTCATTTTTATATCTGATTTTTTTTCAAAACAATAGATTAACCATTTACTATAAATTAAGTTTTTGTCATTTCCGACTACAAAAAAAAAAATGACATACACTCACAAACATATTCGCACTCATACTAAATTGACAATCCGAATTTTCAAATTTTCTGTGGGCAGTAGTGCAAAAATTAATTTCACTATCTGCTGGGTGGGTTTTTCGCAAAGCTTCTTGCTTAATAAAATTTTTCGGCTATAAAAAGGTTTTTTCTAAAATCCCTCAATGCCAATTGGACACAGTCCGAAAAAATCTTTAGAGCAAGAAGCGAAATTTGCAAGGACCTCAGATACTGAGGATAGAAATAAAGCGTACGTCCCCTGTGCGCAGAAGTTCATAAGAGTAAGTGGCACCCTAATCAGATCTGTGCAATATTCGATAATTCACCGATGGAAGTCCATACCGAATCGTATCTCGAAGTCAACCACAAAAGTCTAAATGACTATTCTGTACGACTGCAAGCTGCCTTTGATAACGTTTTTTCCAAAACGGATGACAGCTTGCATAACAAATTTAAAGAGTCAACTCAAGGCAAGTACGTTGCATACCTTGACATCTGCGAGATTGCACAAATCAAGATGTCAGACCAGCTAAAAATGGTCAGACTAGTCGATGCTCCGAGTCCACCATCCCGTGGGGAGCCTACTTCAGAGCAATGTCTTATGGTTTCTTACAAGTTACTCCTTGCGACTTTCTATAGGGTTACGAAGAATGGCCGACTTTCCGTGATATGTTCACAGCCGTATACATTAAGTACCCGAAGCTCTCTCGCGCTCAAAAACTATACTACCTCAGGTATAAAACGGAAACGAAAAGTCGGTGCTATTGTCAAACAATATCCTTCCAGTGACGATAATTTCGATCTGACTTGGGAGGCGCTTCGGTTTTGATATAAAAAAAGAAACGCATTTTAGTAGATAATCAGATCAAAATTTTAATGGTTTTGCATGCTATTTAATCCGAGAATACAAAAGCTTCAAACAAGTATTTGCAACTGTTTGTGCGTCTTACATTCTCAAGACGTTTCAACACACAACGGTCTTAATTAGACGATTTTCTAACTTCTCGGTACCAAGTTGTAGAAAGACCAAATAGTCTTCATCCTAATAAGCCTTAATCCAGTCCACCATATGCTGCTCAGAAAAAACTTTAATTATGACACAAAATTTTATATTAAAACCAATGAAGGCATATTCCTGCCAGGTATGCATCCCCAGCCACCCCCTAAAATTCTGCCGAAAATTTAAGAAAATGCCAGAACAAGCCTTGTTTACAGCCATAATGTCAAAGAGCAAGTTTACGTGTGCGAAATACAAACAAAGACATCATACTCTACTACACATAGATGTTAAACCACATGCTCAACGTATTAGTAGACAACCCCTTGAAGCTACAGTACGACATACAAGGGCAAGGCGACAATCTTATTGAGCAAAATACAATATTTGGATTGATACTTAGTGGTTCGGTGACCGAAAAAGTATCCTCATTTTCCACCCAAATAGAACGAGTTTCCAATGAAACGCTCAGTGCACAACTGAGGCAATTCTGGGAACAGGAGGAAATCCATATAGTACATCTGAAAATGAGGCGTGTGAAGATTATTATATTGAAACAACGGCCCGTAAATCAAGCGGTCGCTATATTGTCAGGCTTCCACCTAAAGAAGAATTTCCAGAAAAACTCATCCTAGGCCATTTCCGGTCTGTGGCGTGCCAGCAGTTCCTCAGTGTCGAACCCACGCTTCAGAAGAAAGGGGAGTTAAAGACAATGTACAACGATGTGTTACAAGAATATATAAGGTTGGCTCACATAATTCAACAATATATGTGCGCTCAGATGCGAATACTCATGCAACATCCAACCTACTGATTGCTAAAAGCAAAGTTGCAACGTTAAAAACGATAGTCTTCTTCGCTTAGAGCTGTGCGGAGCATTACTATTTTCAAAACTGACTGCAACTGTCCAAAATCAGCTAGCCTTAGAAGCGGGCAACACATTTTTATGGTCAGACTCTAAAATAGTACTGCATCGCTCGAAAAAAAAGCCGTGTACATGGAAGTCATACGTATCTAATCGCACCTTCCGCATTCGAGAATATGTCCCAAGCGGAGTATGGCGCCATGTAGCAAGCGGAGATAACCCCGCTGATGTTGGTACACGTGGTTGCAAACCCCAAGACTTAGCTTCCAATTCCTCTGGTGGCATTGACCAAAGTCGCTCTTACATCACATCGCTTCTTGGCTTAAGTCAAAGGTTTGCAGTGCATCTCCGCCAGAAAAGCGTAAAGTTGAGGCCTTTCATGCGCTCGAAGAAAAACACGATTTTCTTGATCGATTCTCTTCACTTCAACTCGCGTGACTGCGTACTTGTTCCGTTTCGTGGACAATGTCCAGAACAAGTAAAAAAATGAAACCACTAACTACCATGCCACATTTGACCCATGCTGAATAAAAATTCGCAAAGCAGCGTCTAATCGAAGTATCGTAATCTCGCTATTTTCCTAGCGAGAAAGATGCGTTACATAACAAAAAAGCTAATTTTCAAAAAAGGTTCACTCCTTAACCTGAATCCATTTCTAGATAAAACCGGACTTCTCCGCGTCAATGACAAAATTGCGCACATACTCAGCTGTAATCAGCGGCACTCAATCATCATCCCAAATGCATCAATATTTTGTCAGTTACATTTGAAGTTCCTACGCGCACTGCTTTTCCTGCAGGAACGTGCCTCATGCTTCAAATGATCGGGAAACAATACTTCATACCGAAGCTAACGTCGGCCTGATAATCACATCCGTGGACCTCCGCACGCAAAACGGGATCATCTCCCGGTCCTTAGTAAAACTGTGCTTTATTCCCAATGAGCACCCTTCGCTCGAAGCACATCAATAAACAGAAATTCCCCTCCTAATCCTATACACCTGCTTACGTATGCCAACTACCGATTGTTTCGTTTTTCTTCCATTTCCAGACGATGGCGGCAGATACTCGAAACTGCCCACACTGCCGGCTGTGTCACCGCTACCACGCCTTGCGCAATTGCGCCGCCTTCCGCGCAATGCGTCCTCCTCAGCGCATCGCTCAACGTCACGGAAGAGTGTGACTCTCGAGGAAAGCTCAGACGATGCAAAAAGGCGCATCATACCATGCTGCATCCCCCAGAGTCGCAATCTAGCGAGCTAGCGACAGCAACAGCAGCTTCTGCAACCAACAAGAAGGAAAAGCAGAAGCGGCAACAACAGCGCGTAACGAAGCAGCGCGCAACACAACAGCGTGTTACAACACAACAACGTGCCACACATAACGTTCCACACATCAACGTGCCATCCAACAGCGTGTCACCCAGCAGCACATCATCCAGCAAAGGGCCATAAAAAAAAAGTAGCGGGGAAAAGTTGCGCTCAATGGCGCATACGACCACCGGGCTGCAAACCAAGGAGGTCCGTAAGAGGACTACGCTATGTGCACCATCATTAGAAAAAAATTTACTGTTTGTTTCTTTTGTATTAATAAGAAATGGCATAAATCTAAAACTAAGTGAAATATAAAATGTTTTAAAAAGTACAAAATTTTTAAATTATGTTTATTTATTATTGATTATTGATTTTAATAATATATTTATATGTATAATTCATTAATAAATTATTGATTTTAATTTTAACTGTAATTTGTCATTATTTTTCCGAAACACAATAACATTATTAAAATTTTCTCAATTTTTTTTTTAACACAATATATTTATTGTACATACATAAATACAAAGGTAAGTATAAATATGCATATTTAATTCTTAACTTTTCTTCAGAGTTCGATGAGATCAACATGTCAGTTAAAGTAAAATTTGTGTGAAAATGTTTTTTAATATTTAAATTAAATTAATAATATAATTTAAAACGCACGTATTATTTTATATTTTCCTCAAAAAAACGTGTTTTTCAAATTTTTTTTATTGATTTAGAAAAAAATATTTATAAAACAAAGTTTATGTAGATAAGGAGGCATATAAAAATAGAAGTTGAATTTTTTTTTTAATGGCGGCTCTTAAAATTGCTACCGAAACACGTCACTTTTGTTCGTGAGCGACGCGATAACTTTAAAACGAACCATCTGAAAGCAAAAATCAAAACGGTTTCTTATTCTGTATCGCATTAGCTATGGCGGGAACTACAATGAAACAATTTTTCCCAAAAAAAGAAAATGGCGGACTTTTTTTTATTTTTTATCCTTTTTTCAATTTGAATTGTTTATAATTTTTTAAACAACAATTAATACTTTTGGAGCAGAATGCGGTTTAGTTCATGTTGATAAGTTCTATAGGTTCGAAATGAGGGTGTTAGCCAGTTGAAAAAACGAGGCTCCGAGAAAAAGGCGATTAAAATTTTCGTTCGTAAGGATTTACCGCTCCGCGTGTTGCGGGCTTTCAGGACTAACTCTATTCTATTTCTTAGAGTATTTTCTAGCAATTTACAGGAGAAAAAAATTACGTTTTATTGAAATTTTTTTCAGAAGAGCCTGGCCTTAAATGAAAGAGCCGGAAAAGTAACCAACAAGTAGGGGTGTGTGCCTATATCAGCAAATTGTGACCACACCTGTCATAAGGGAGACGGTTAAATTACGTTACTGTGTTTGGCAATTGTATGTTTTCTTGCAGGCAAACCAATTGCAGTAGTTTAGAAGAATGTGGTAGTTAAAAAACTCTAAATATTGAAGTTTGTCGACCGAGCTTTTTTGGAACAATGATTTATTTTGAAAATTGTTGAAAATTTTTATGTTATGCAGAGAAATAAAATATTATTTAAATTCATATTTTTTTTTTTACCCTTTTCCAAACTGTCGATTTGTTCGTTTGTAAATGAAGTGCGATTACGTTGCAATTTTCTTTTAAGACGCATTCTCATCTGGGAGTCCTCATCGCCCGATGAATTGTGATCCGAGTTGCCATCCGAGGTACTTTCATGAGAATTGGGATGTGGGGACTCTCCCGAAAATAGATCTGAAATGATAATTGTAGATTGTTCTTAATGAAAGCCTTTTGTTTTACACTTGCGAATTGAGAAATATCGAAATTTAATTTCAAGAGCTGTCACATGAATCATAAAAATTTTCTTAGAAATTAAATTTCAGTTTCTGAACATTAGTCTGGTCACACTTCGAAATTTATATTTCCACTTTATTTTTGTTCACTCTCGGTATGAAAATAAATGAAAGAAGATTGTTACTGAAGAAAAGTATTTTATTAAAAATTATTGCTACAATAGCAAAAAATATGTATAATTTTGGCAACACTGAACTCGTAATGAGAGACTAGCGAGCAGAAAAAATTTTCGGAGCATGCTGCATTGCTAATGAGAGACTAACGAGCAGAAGGCGACCAATTTTTTTAGAAACGATTCTCATATTTCACAGGAACAGCAGTCTTGTAACAATTCAACATATGTCATATACGGATGTATGTATCTTAATTTATGTGCTTAAAATTCAAAGTAGTCTGACGTCTAAAGTAAAAAAAAAGTTGTCGTTAAATATTATGAATTTGGCAATATATTATTTCATTCATTTTAATTTTGAACTTTCTTCCACAACCGTGTGACTTGGGATCACTTTTATTCTCAGTGGTGGATTAGGATCTGGGCTCTATGCAATTATTTTCAGGTGAAGTGAAGTGAAGTATAAAAAATAATGAACAATTGTCAAAATATATGAGTTTTGAATATAATACTCACATTTTTCTATGCGATGTACAGAGTATAATAAAAGAGATTTGTATATAATATTCCCGACAACAAATAAGTAATTACAAAAAGTTGGTAGCAATAATGTAATAGATGTTTACATTAACATGTATATTCTCACTCATACGGGTTACGTAAGTTTTGTTAATTCTTAAATCGCGATATTGAATTTGGTGTTCTAGCGCAATGGTTACATTGGGTGCGTTCACCGAACTGAGCGCTCAGTAAATACGTTTAGTCAGCGAGTTTACTGAGCAATTAATTTTGATGAACGTACTGCTACTTCAAATATAGAAACGGCCAATTAACAACTGATTGTGAAGCTATGAAGTAAAGTTGTTAATTAACATTTGGGCAATTATTTCTTGCTTGAAATGTTGTTCTATTCATTCCCGCAAATCGGTCATGTACTAAATATACCGGGACACATTTTCTTCATAAAAATTTTTGATTATTTTCTTTGAATTCCTTTTTTTGGAAAACGGTTTATATAATGCAGACAGCTGAAATAAATCTATTTGAAAGCCCAAAAAATATGGTAAATTGTCATCACAATCATATTGATGTAGAAATACATTTAGATTTTCACAATTCATTTTTTTCGATTTAAAGCAGCTAACTAATATGCTTACCCTCTTGTTTGTTGTATTTGAATTTCATTTGTTATTGGGAAGGAAATTTTCTCGGTTTTCACTTTGACAATCAAATTTGAAATATAGTGCAGTAAACGCAAAACAGAAGGTTAGCTCATAGCAGTTAGACAATCGGTCCCAATGCATTTCTGTTACGAGCCCTGGGTAAAAAATACATTGTTGAAAGAAACCTGAAATAAAGCTGCAAGGATGTATTTTGTTTAAAAAAAATATAATATGTGCTTCAATATATAATTGATTTTTATTAATTTTTTTAAATCAAAAACTATTTTCAATTGCTTCTAAATATTGTTGATTATAAGTCTGCGTTTATGAAGTAATAAACAATAATAGCCTATTTCCACCGGACGTTAAATGTATTTTAGCTTAAATGCAGTTAAACATCGCATTTAAATGCGGTAATTCCCATGTGTTTGTTGTTGTATAAAAGTGAGTTAACTCACTTTGGAAAGTGAGTTAACCCACTTTCGGTAATTTAGCAGAAAATGTTACGTTAACACTCGTTGCTGTCACTACTAATGTAATCGTTTCGGAAATTTCGGAATATTTATTGCCAGAGTCGTGTATTTTCGGATTTAATGAGGGGTGAGATTTTTATTTTGCATGGTGAAATTTTGTCGGCAAAAGTTATTTCTTTGCATTAGTTTTTACATAAACGCATATATTAAGTAATTGGCGAAGACTGCTTTCTCCTCTTTCAAAAAATACAATAAGAAACAAGCATAAAACAATTGTGGAATTTCAAGCGATCACCTCAATAGAAAAATATGGATGGCTGTGGCAGCTATCAGCTGATTTCGCAAAATAAATAATTTGAGGGAACAAACAAGCAAATGTGAAAATGGAAACATGTATAAAAGCATTTTCGTTTCAGCGACGATTGTCCATGTAGAATAAATATGCACTTGCAAATCATAAGATTTCATAAATAGCCAAATAAATTTAATGCGGTCTCTTGAATTCATGATTTCAATAGTTGTGGCAAATTTCGCAAACTGCAAATGCAAAAAAAAATCAGCTGTTTGAGTTAACTCACTTTCGGTGGAAACGTTTGACCTTTCATTCACTTAACAGAGGCCTTAAATGCATTTAAGTGCTTGGTGGAAATAGGCTATAAGAATTATTTAAAATTCCCCACATGGTGAGGCTGCCATGGTGGGGCTACATGTCCGATGCGCACAGGCTACTTCAGAAAAAAAATTCTAGCAATACTGGAAAGATTTAAAAGGGTCCGGTTCCAAATCCATGTGTATACATGTATATGTTTCAATGCCGTACGTTCACTTTTTCTTAAAACCTACTACAAAAATAGTGATTCAAACGTGACCATTTTTCGAGTTTTAAGAGGAGATGATGGTGCAATAGTGATCCAATCACTCAATCAATTCGTTTAATTCGTTTTTGTAAGAGTACATCGTTTTTCTGGTTACAATTCAAATATAGCTACTTTAAGTGAAAAGTTCGCCGAACCCTATTGTGTATATTTCTCGACGTTTTTTAGAGCTGGGACTTTCTTATGGTACCATGCAGGGTATTTTGATTTTGAGTTTACACCAACATCTATATAAAGTCCAGCATTTGTAACTACTGAAGCTAGTGGACCATTCACAATGCCGTACGTACATCGATTGGGTGGTTGAACAATAAGCAGTGGACAATAACAACTAATACGGTATTCTTTCTTTTTTCTTTAAAAATGTTTTCGAATGTGCATAAGTTATTTTAATAATCACATTATCTGCAATTGTAACTGTTCTGACAACAACACAGTGACTCTCAAACTCCGTATTCGGTATTGTGCTTTTTTGTTTGTGCGTTTTATATACTCAAATATGTTATAACCTGGAGGACCCGAACCAATATTTTATAACTGAAATAAACAGGGGTTCCTTTCAGAAGCCTCCTTGAAAAATTCTTGTTTCCATAGGCCGAGAGTCTTCCCATTTGAAAAATGTCCTTTTGGAAACAAAAAATTTCGAGCTAGGCTACCTATGGAACTATCCTCTCCTATTGAGATCCTGGTAGCAAAGCAATAAACGTGTGCAGTGGAGGTTTCCCAATTGTCATAACCCCCTAACTTTGTTGCCTGGAATATTGGGTTGTAAGGAAGCCCATGCTTCACCCTTACCAGCATAACCTTGGAGTTCGAACTACTCCCCATGAAAAATTTTTGGAACTGCTTTTTAGAAGGATAGAATTGTTAAAGAGGGCAAGGATATTAATAGGATTGTATGGCGATGACCGACGAAAGAGAATTTTGATGATTAGGTAGATGAATCTATGTTGGACATATCTCTTTTTATTAAAGGAAGTTGTTGAACTAAAAAGTAAACCGCATGTACCGGGGTTCCAGAAATATCGCTAACTGAAGATACTATATGAAGTAGAGTGTGGTGTCCGAACTACTATAAAATTCTTGTCTTCTAGTATTTGCTAACATTTCTCATTTGCCGCTTTGGTTTTTTACCATTGCTCAGCTAATTCCTCTTTTAGTATTTCCAGAGAAACTTCTCTTCGCACTAATAGACTGCTAGTAGCAGCTCATGCAATACAATGTAAAATCGTCGTATGGACATACATACATATGTATGTCGCCAAAGCAAGAAACTAGATTGCAAAAGAGCAAATAACAAATATGTCACGTTTATTTGTACGAAAGTCGAATACGTATGTACATATATACTATTTATTTGTAAAAAAAAGGATAGATATGAAAATATCAATGTATTAAAAACACATTTTTAACAAAACTTAACAAATCACGCACCTGAGTGTATTGATGCCTCCTGACCTTCCGGTTGTTGTAACTACGCTTTGTTCAGTGTCTTGCTCTGTCTTTATACAGGAAATGTTTATACATTATATATAATTGACGCTTTGTAACCGCTTAAGCGACTTTCGGTCGAGCTCCTCCTCCAATTTGTGGTTTTGGTCGAACGGAGATTTGAACTCTAGCCTTCCGAATGGCAGCACGCAATGCTAACCACTCAGCTAACGCGGCGGCAGGAAAATGTTTACTTGATGGAATTTGGCAAGGGTTGATAATAGAATTCTCTCAGGCTAGAGGGACCAAAATTTAGGTTCGTAAGTCTCAAAATAGAACGCCAGTGCGAACCCGCAACCCAATCCAAAGTGAAAGAAACGAATAAATGAAAATGGTGCTAGTCGAAGAACTAACATTTATTGAAATATGTAGCCAACGTATTCGGTTATGTTCCCAGTGACTACTTTGTTAACAATTTACTTTTTACTCATGCGCATTTGCTCCTACCTTTTGTGAAAAGAAGACAGTGAAAAAATTGGCAAAATCTGAAGCACAATCCTCTATCTATAAATCGAATCGAAAGAAAACGGACCAATATCGCAAATTCAACATTCTCAACGTACTCTTTGCCAATAAGATTGGCAGTCGATGGTTCTGAAACATACTACTGATACTCCGAATGAATAGACTATGAAAATTCTGTACTGGATTTTGAAAGGTCTATTCTAAAACTATCCAGACTTAAATTAACTAATTAATCAATATTCCCTCCCATAATTGCTTTGCAAGAAAGTCACCTTCCAGTAAACAAAAAAGGATGCATTCCACAAAATAAAAACATAGA